ATTTCTAAAAAGAGACTAAAATACAATTTTCATTGACTAAAACTAGACTAAATGTCATCAGTTTTCGTCGACTAAAACTAGACGAAAATAGTCATGGATAATTCTGACTAAAATAAGACTAAAATGCTCAGACTTTTAGTTGACTAAAACTTGACTAGACTAAAAAGAGTATGAACGTGACTAAAACTAATAAAAACTAAAATGACAGCTTCACACAAAGACTAGATAATACTAAAATTAAAACAGGCCGCCAAAAGCAACACTAGTGTTGTCTAACCCCAATAGAGTTTAGAATGTCTATAAATGCTGATCTCAATGAATCTTTTTCATTATAAATCACCAACAATTAAGACTTTATCTGCAGCCAGCACTAACTCAGATAAAAAAATTTATAAAAATCAGCAAATTCTTTAATAAAGTCTGTATGATGCCCTGGTGGCCTGTATACAGTAGCCAGTACAAACGACGCAGGGGATTTATCATTAACCCTTGTTTCTCTGGATAATGTTATATGAAGCACCATTACTTCAAACAAATTGTACTTAAAACCTGACCTCTAAGAAATACTGAAGATATTCCTATAAACTGTAGCAACACCTCTCCCTTTACCTTTTAGACGCGGCTCATGTTTATAACAGTAATCTTGGGGGGCACACTCGTTTAACCTTGTGTTGTGTTCAAAACCCTATAACTCTTGTAGTGTTCCTGGGCAAAAATGACCGGCCTCAAAAAATTGCTTATAAATCACTCATTATACTATATTATCACCAAGTATTGGATTCAATCTTTTTTTCAACTTCTTTTCTTTTACTTAGGACTAGTTTTGTATTTATATTTGCATCTGATTAATCACAGGCCTCATTTATCTGAGAGTAGGCACCTCATTTTTTGAGTGAAAAAAGGATTATTTATGAATAATTGTCACAGTATTAAATACAAACTGATGAAAATTTGCACTGTTTATCACACTAGTGTACTTTAATGTTTAATCAGGGAGTTTGCTTTTAAATGCTTTTATTTAGTACAAAATGGCACAAAGTCACACTTGTGGTGTTCCCGGGCCAAAAATAACTGGCTATTCAGATTGAATGGGAAAGATCACAAAAAACACCGTAATTTTATGAAGCTACGAGAATACAAAAAGTATTCTCGTAGCTTTATAAAATTATGGTTGAACCCTTGATGTCACATGGATTATTTTACCAATCTCCTTGCTTTCTGGACCTTGATCGTGGTAATTATATTGCTGTCTATGGGAGGGTCACAGAGCTCTCAGAATTCATCAAAAATATCTTAATTTGTGTTCTGGAGATGAACGGAGGTCTTATGGATTTGGAACGACATGAGGGTGAGTAATTAATGACAGAATTTGACAGAAACAAATCTGACCATTGTGACATGAAAAAAACAGCACTGCCACATAGAAAACATTTCATGGTGCAACAATATTTATATGCTCCGTATTTGTGCTAAAGCATTTATTAGTAAACTTTTGTCTGCTTTCTGAGAACATGAAAACCTCAAAACCCATTGTCATAATATTTTGTCTAGAAGGTGTGATGAAAGAAAAAAAATGAAAGATTATTTTGAATCAGGGTGAAGCCAGTTCGTGTGTGTGTGTGTGTGTGTGTGTGGGTAGGTGGGTGAGAGAGAGACAAAGAGAGAGAGTTATACTATCAGATTGATGAAATGATATCGGATGCAGCTCAGGGTAGGATGAAATAGAAAGCTTGTAATACTCCCAATAGTTTGTATAAGTGTGTGTGTGTTAGCGTGAGTATGCATGCATCCACACATGAACAGGTCCAAGGCCTTTATGTTTGCAAGCACACATGTACATATGTGAACGTGAACATGATCAACATGCTCCTGAACACTAATAGTTTCTATTACTTTCATTCTTTCCCATTCACTTTGAATGGCTGGGCATTTTTGACCGGGAACACCACAAGTGTGACTTTGTGCCATTTTGTACAAAATAAAAGCATTTAAAAGCAAACTCCCTGATTAAACATTAAAGTACACTAGTGTGATAAACAGTGCAAATTTTCATCCGTTTTTATTTAATATTGTGAAAATTATTCATAAATTATTTTTTCACTCAAAAAATGAGGTGCCTACTCTCAGATAAATGAGGCCTGTGATTAATCAGATGCAAATATAAATACAAAACCAGTCCTAAATGAAAGAAAAGTTGACAAAAAGATTGAATCCAAACTTTGGTGATAATATAGCATAATGAGTGATTTATAAGCAATTTTTTGAGGCCGGTCATTTTTGCCCAGGAACACCACAAGTGTGTAACAAGGTGAATAATCTCCCCCAAAAAAGTACGAAAATGATCAAAAACATTTTGAGAAGTAGTTATACCCTTTGTGAACAAAGTCACTAAATGTCAGTCCAATGCGATAACATTAACTAGTCTCCTGCTGTTCTTCCCTTGATTCCTCTGTTACCCTCTCAGGCTGATTGAAGACTTTGCGTTAATACAGTTTTGGGTCTCAGATCAAATGAACAGGATCTACTGACAGGATCTGGTGTTTTTGTTGTGGAGATTTGATTTGAGGTATGTTTTCGGTGCAGTCGACAGGATGTTGGCACAATCTAACAGTGAGATATGTTCAACATTTACAGGGGCTAGTGTGAGATTTTATTGCTGTCTGAATTCAACTGTGTCTTGTCTTTTGTTCTATTTATGGTTGTTATTCCATCGGTTTGAACTGCAATTATATTTCTAAATTTTAAAAAAGAAGTGTAACAAGGTGAATAATCTCCCCCAAAAAAGTACGAAAATGATCAAAAACATTTTGAGAAGTAGTTATACCCTTTGTGAACAAAGTCACTAAATGTCAGTCCAATGCGATAACATTAACTAGTCTCCTGCTGTTCTTCCCTTGATTCCTCTGTTACCCTCTCAGGCTGATTGAAGACTTTGCGTTAATACAGTTTTGGGTCTCAGATCAAATGAACAGGATCTACTGACAGGATCTGGTGTTTTTGTTGTGGAGATTTGATTTGAGGTATGTTTTCGGTGCAGTCGACAGGATGTTGGCACAATCTAACAGTGAGATATGTTCAACATTTACAGGGGCTAGTGTGAGATTTTATTGCTGTCTGAATTCAACTGTGTCTTGTCTTTTGTTCTATTTATGGTTGTTATTCCATCGGTTTGTACTGCAATTATATTTCTAAATTTTAAAAAAAGAAGAAAAAAAAGAGTATTGAATCTTTTGAAATGGGCCATTATTATGGCAGCAGAAACAATAACATTTTAAAATGTGTTATATACATTTGTCATGACATCTTGGACCCAACTCTCATCACTGAGTTTCATGCCCATCACCCGGATCAACCTCGACCCAGACCTAGGGGAAGGACCCGAACTAACGCTTCTGCAAACCCTCGGGAGAGGCCTAAAAGGGGGAGTAATGTCATATACACGCCCAAACCTGCTACTCCAGCCACCCGCCACATGAGGGAGCCTTCTCCTGAATTCTGAGTTCCTGTTCACCTGAAGCTCATCTTCCTCCTCTCACACTATATATATTTAGTTCAATTTAATTCCAAGTTTATTTGTATCGTGCTTTTTACAATACAAATCGTTGCAAAGCAACTTTACAGAAAATTCCGTTTCTACAATATGTAGTAGTAGCTTATGAGTGGTAACTGTCAGTTAATGTACATATGGCAGAAACGTACAGAAAAATCAATTAAAGACGTAATCAAATAGACGATGAACACTATTAACAGCAATTATTAT